CTGCCACACCATGTGGTCACCTCCGGGGCAGGAGGGAATCGAACTCATGCTGAAGTGGCTTAAGCTTCTTAGTGCTGTGCTTTAACCTGCTGCGCCACCAGGAAGGGCCCTGATTAAATAACATTTAATCAAATACAAGGTTGAAAAAAGATGTGAACAAAGAATAGGTGGGACAAATAGTACTATGGTTGACTTAAACACAAATAGATCAGCCAGTACATTAACTCTAAATGGACTGAAAATGTCAATTAAAGGTAAAGATTGCCAGTCAGACTAGAGGAAAAAAACATTTACATGATGCTTATAGGATACTACCTTATGGGCCTCCCTGGTAGCCCAAGAGGTTAAGTTACAGCACTATGAAGCTGTCAGCAGAAACTGCAACAGAAGTTTGATCCCATCTTAGCAGGGAGCTACCACATGATGCAGCAGACCTGCCTATCTTTCCCACTGTTCCCCTTAGCAGTGTATTTAAGCAGACTTGCCTGTTATGTTTCCTACTCTGTCTCTGCTGAATCCTCTTATCCCCCAACCCAGACACCTCTGGCCTGTACCTCAGTTCTTATACGCATAAATAAGTAAATCTTTAAAAAATAGAAACTCCATTTTAAAAAAAGAAACATACATTAAATATGTTCAGAAAGTTAAGTGCAAAAGAATGGAAAAAGATATACCATCTAAACACTATGTTAGTATGTTAATATCAGACAAAGTTATGTAGTTTGTTGTATTTGTAGTATTGAGCTTTACACTTATGATATATACTTTTCTGTATTAACATTCACTTTAGTAAAAAGTTTATATAAATATTATCTTCATGTGAAGTTTTACTATATCCCATTTAATACATTTTATATAAAAGTATTTATCCCAAAATCTAAGTATAAAATTGGTGTCATGGGCCTGCCTATATCATGTTCATTCACTGTGTTGTATCTTAGGCCTTCTCTTAAATAGTTAATTCTAGTTTGAACAGTATGACTCTAAGAGGAAGTGGAGAGGTAAAGGAACAAGTGTGAGCAAAATTGCTCAATAGTTGAAATGTAAATAACCAGAAT